TGAGTTAGTATCTCAATACTGGGAAAGATAGATACTTTGAAAGTGTTATTTATTAAAGAGAATCAAAACAATATTGTTTATATCTATTACTATTCGAATCGCTTGTAATTGAAATCCTTGTCGTGTAATTTTTGGTTTGTTTACACTGTATAAGTGTGTAGTGTACGTATGCTTGGTATGTAATAGCTCTGGAGATTGTTAGCTTGTCAAGTTTATTAGCAAGAAGGAACCAGTGTTTGGTTGCAGAGTCTGTTATTCACTCAATTGTGATGTTTATACCACAAGTCCGACGGATCGCTAAGAAACATTCTTGTGGTTCCACAGCTTGGCGGACTCAACAAGAGAAGGCCCTTCAAAGCAAACGTAACCATCTAATGCGTAAATTTACAATAGAAAATATCCGCAACACCTAGCTTTCTATTGTGTAACGCCAATTGTTCATTATTCAACAAGAAACTGTCGAAATACTGACCAAGAGGCCCAATAATATTGGAGAGAAAACGATAAATGGTCATCCGGGTATTTGAAAAGAACTGTTTTGGCAAAGGCTATTAAAAAGATATACATTTTTTGCGTCATCCCGTCTAAGAAGCCTTGTGCACCACGCCCACTACCATGACAGATGCGGCCACGCACTTTTATGAAAAGCAGTACAGTATCAACCCAATTAACGATTCATCCGTTGAAGATCTACTCAGCTATGTCTCTTCTAAGCAATTCTTGAGTGAAGCCACTCAATCCTCCATAACACTTCCACTAACATTTAATAGTATATGGGCAGCAGTCGACTGCCACCCCCACCATCACAGCCCTGGCCCAGAAGGTATGCCCTACGAGATTCTTTCTCTCTTATTCCGTGAAGACGGGTATGTCACACTTCTAACGATAATTCATAATGACGCTCTCGACAAAGAAGCCTTTCCATCTTCTTGTAGCTCCACCTACTTGTCACTCCTCCCAAAGAAAGGGGACCTCTCCAGTACTAAAAAATTGGTGGCCCATCGCACTGATCAACACTAACGCAAAAGTGTTTACTCGTATACTGAATGCCCAAATTATCCATACTTCAAACTCTTTCAATCACTACAAAACTGGTTTTGTGAAGGGACAGTTCATAGTTGACAGTGAGATCATGACTCGCATGGCTATAGAATACACCCAAAACACTTCTGATACCTCAATTGGTCTGATGGTTGACCAAGAAATATCATATGATCGTGTACGCCCCGAGTATTCGAGACTAGTTCTTTAAAAGTTCTGGTTCCTAGACACGATAGTGCACTGTATCCCATAATCGCTTTTATCCACTAGTATGTCAATCAATGTCAACGGTTTTTTGTTGGCGTCAATTCTACAAAATCGAGTTCTCAAAAATGTGATATGCTGTCCCCTGTTCTGTTCAACTTTGTTTTCGAACCTTTGCTCCGCCTACTAGCCGCCGATAGCTCTCTTCCAGGATTTGGTCTATCCACCGACGACCACACTGACCAGCCCTCACCACCACCAGTCAAATACTTGGCTTATGCGGATGACACTCTCATATTTCCCAAGTCACCTTCTGACCTTGGCACTTTACACAGACATCTGGATACTTAAGAATTTCAAATGCACGAATTAACATACACAAGACACAAGCCTTTTCCTTGTCCGGTGCCTCACTATCAGAGTGGCGCACACACCTACGGCAAAAGCTTATTACCTTATGACACGATCGTACTTATCCCGCTTCTCTCACGTACTTAGGGTTTCCATTGATATCATTTGTCACACAAAGAGATCAATTCTGTACCTCACTTCCGAATACAGTCAAATCGTCTTGTAGCATGCGCCTGTAGTGATTACGCTCCGTCATATGTCGAGCTACTGTCGTGAACACGTTGATTCTCTCCTGTGTTTGGCATGCTCTTTGAATAAAAACTGTCCTCAAAAGGTTCTTCGACAAACTCTGTTCCATTTTAGGCCGTTTCCTCCGGCGGAATATGCTCTCTATGGCGATCCTGTCTTCTATGTTTTCAGAAACTGCAAAAAGGCTTAGGCGTGTTGGACTCGCAGATTCAACAGAAAGTACTGACTATGCAATAGCTACAACCGATTCTTGACAACTAAACATCGGCATCCTTTGTCACCCCTTGAATAAAGCACTTTCTTGATCCACACAAGTCCTTTGGGGACCCTCGCCTTCATTTGTTGGTTGCAATACTGCGAATCACATCTTTAAGGACAAAGAATGGTGCACTTTCCACTCTCATGTGTGCTATGGACTCTATCACATGAAACTTTTCTCTTCTCACTTTGAGCTGCACCACTTGTCTTTCTCTGAAGCTGCTGGATGGTGTAACCTACACAGCTTCTTCTGCACCTAACACCTCTGGTTGGAAGCGCATTAATGCTTCTGGTGCATTTATGTTTGATTAGAGCCTCTAAGCTATCCCCTCCCAAACGCAAGTTCAACGGCCTAAATCGTCATGTCTGATAGATAGGCTGTTTCAGGATATAGAAAATACAGCTACTGAGCTCACGCCTTTCCTTTGGCGCGCTACATTGCCTCCCAATGACCACCATGAGTTGCAACTGCTAGCTAATCCTTTGATAATAAATCACAAGCTATTAGTTTTACTCCTCCCTTTGCAAGCTAAACAATGGCGTTCATTTTGGGGCTTTCCACTCCCATTACACCTCCCGCAACATATGCTATCGTTCTATACTCAACTCCTTGTCGTGTCAGTACACCCTATACAACCGTGCTCCGACCATATTTGTCACTAAAAAGTGTCCCATTTGCTTGTCTGAGGTAGACACTCTCTCTCGTGTCCTCTACCAGTGCCCACAGGAGTGGACAGTATGGGAAGCTACCCTGAAAATAATAATAATTTGGACTGTCCCCATTGACATTTGATATTCATCCCACAATCTTCTCTCTGGAAATCCTTGACCACCCACTACCTGTCTTCCATGTTCGGCCATGTCAAATTATTAGCAGCAGCATCTTGGCCCTGTGGTGCACTCACTGAAGCTTTATCTTCGACATCCGGTCTTTTCACATCTCCTCGATTAATTCTAAAATAGACACCATTGTTTCGCACATCTTCTCTGACTTGGATTTAAAATACACTTTCCTTGGGCTTTTATTTCTAAATCTTAAAGCCCCTCAGAAAACTCCAAAAACATTTGTATTTCTTTCTTAACACACAATAAATATCAGGACTAGTTCCTCAATACCAAAAAAACCAAAGCAGCATGGAAAGGTACTCGACACTGTGAATAAGGTTCTAGATACAAGAAAAGACGGAAGCTCAGTCAGTAGCAACAGTACTAACACGATTCTTACTTTTCCCTGAAAACCAAGTGCATTGCAAAAAAATACCCTGAGCTGTACGATGGTAGCCCAGAACAAGCCATCACAGATGCACTAGTGTGTAGTCAGTATCTATCTGGTAGTAGTCTTCCTATTAATTCCCCGCAGTACAGGCGGTAAACAGCCGAGAACTGAGCCCTGAGCCCTGAGCACAGAAATGGAGATGATGTTGGTGAAAGGGGTTATTCGGCCAAGTAATAGTTTATGGAGCTCCCCGCTGATATTGGTACCAAAGCCAGGCAATACTTTACGATGCTGCATCAATTATAAAACACTAAATGATGTGACCCGCAAAGACTAGTTTCCCTTACCACATATCGATGATCTATTACACAAGTTGATTTATGCCAAATATTTCTTGACACTAGATCTCAAGTCCGGTTATTGGCAGATTCCCATGAGTCCAGGCGACATATGTAATACTACATCTTCCACGGAGAAGAGTCTTTTCGAATTCCTCGTAATGCCACTAGGCGTTACTAACTGCCCAGCCATTTCACAATGCCTCATGCAGCAAATCTTTTATTAGCTGGATTTCCCTACCATTTGCATTGACGATGAGTTGACTTATTACGCAACCGAAACAGAATATATGGTACACATCTCAAAGGTTCTAAATACACTAGTGAAATGAAACCTCAAGATCAGTATCAAGAAGTGCCATTTATTAGTCACAGAAGCCGAGTCTTTCGGGTATTAGGTGTCCGGCAATGGTATCGGACTAGATCCTTCCAAGACTTGCCCAAGCCTACTACGATTTATGAACTACAGATGTTTTTAGACATTTGTAACTTCTATCATCGTTTTTTTTTCTGCAAATATTTCTGTGATAGCCATTCAAGAATACCAATTGTTAAAGAAAGAAGGTGTTTGGACGTGGGACGAGAATAACAATGCTTTCAAAATATCGAAAGAAAAACTAACAAAATTACCGCAACTCGAATATCCAGACTCCAATTTTTCATATGAACTACACACCGGCGCCAGCGACACTGGCACAGAAGCTGAATTGGTTCAAGAGACCCACCCAGTCGTATTCGCTAGCCGTTCTCTCTTACTCGCCGGAAGGAAGTATAGCACAACTGAAAGATAATGTCTGTCTGTAGTATGGCTATTAAGATTTCCCCATTGTTATATCCACAGAGCGAGTTTGACTGAATTCATGAATTATGCAACACTAAAGACAATACTCACAACCAAGAGTCCAAGGGGTAGAATAGCCTGTTGAGTAGCAAATGTGATTACCTACAAGTTTACTGTAGTACATTGTAGAGGTACTTATAATAAGGACGCAGATGCATTGGGTTGTGCATGTTTTACCAGTCTCAACCAGAGCAGCGCTCAAATAAACAGCCGGACTATAAGCAGGAATATGATACGAGAGCAGCAAATGTGCTATCCGGAGATCAAACATCTCCAAACTTTCAAGGAAAACTAATTCTTCTGGAAAAGGGGCGTGTCCGGTAAAAATCTCAGGGCACTCGCTATCGTGATCCCTCACCCAATACGCCAATTATTTCTTGCGTCAATCCACGCTCATCCAGCAGCTAGCCATTTTGGCCATGATGAAATACTGAATAAAACACAGCAGCATGGATGGATAGTGATCGTGGTATGGTCATCACAATTTGGTGAAGAACAGACTCTACGACCAAACACTGGTTCCTTCTTGCTAATGAACCGAGCAGTCTAACAATCTCCGGAACTGTTACATACCAAGCATACGTACACTACACACTTATAGAGTGTAAACCAGCCAAGCATTACACAACGGGGATTTGAATTACAGGGATTTTAATAGTAGCAGATATAAACAATATTGTTTTGATTCTCTTTACTGAATAACACTTTCAAAGCATCTATCTTTCCCAATATTGAGACACTAACACAGCAATAGTCCCAAATACTTCAGTGATTGTCGATTGTAACTGACACAAAGACATATGCACAAAAATACCCAGAGTTTTTTTTTCACTACAACCAACTCACATACAAGCTTGGAAACCTATAAAGTTTTAAGGTTCATTTTTTGGGAGGATTGTAGGACGTCTATATTGTAGTTCTGCCAGAATCTAAAATAGGAAGCCAATATTTATTAGTGCTAGCGAAATACCTAACCAGATGGGTGATAACAGCCGCTCTGCCTCGATTCGATTCGAATAAGATTGCTCACGTATTGACTCTCAAAGTAGTTCTACTATACGTGGTACTGAAAAGATTCCTCACAGACAACGGAACTGACTTTGTCTCAGAGGCAATGAGAATAGTATGCCAATGAATGAGAATAACCATAACAATAACAAGCGTTGAGCACCATCAAGCAGGCTGCTTGGTAGAGCAAATGAACAACCCTACTAAGACAACACTGGCAATTTACGCAGAAAAAAAAAGACGTCCAATAATGGGGTGAATAGCTATTATTCGTAACTTATGCTATCAATACGGCCGAACAAACATTAACAGGAAAATTACCTTTTGAGATAATGTTTGCTAGACGAGCCAACTTACCAGCCACCGGCGACTTCAACCTGTCATAGATAAAATTGCACCCTACAAAAACATGGATCTGACATTCTAATCATTACCTTCCAATAATCCAACAAGATGTAAAAACAAACTTACAAAAAAACCAAGAGCGACAAAAATATAACTATGATAAGAACCTCAGAGAAAAACAACAGTTTAAAGTCAAGGACATTGTCATGAAGATAAAGCCAAAAAAGACTTGTAGAATTCAGGGAGAAAACAATGAAAAGTGGGTTTCTTGATTGTCCATGTCAAAAATTCTGAAAAAAAGGGCACAACTGTAATTCAAGAACAACTGTATCCAATAGAGAAGAAAGGTTTATCTCCTACATACAATTTGAATGCTGCAATTCCACCTTTAGTGCCACGCCCTCGTCCGAGCATGATTGCTATAGATGTGCGACCTACATTGAACACTAAACCCAGCAACAGAAAGAGACGTAAATCTTAACGACTTCTTACTCTGAGACATTACAATACCCACAGCAATAGCTTGCTCGACAAAGCTCTCGCTGAACGAAATTCATTTCATGGAATTGTGCCAGCATGAATAAGTCTCACTTGCAGATTGCCACCTTAAATTGATGTAGCATTTTGAAGGTTGACTACCCACAGACACAATTAGTGTTTGTTATATATATATATATATATGTTCTTGAGAACTTGGTCTCGATATGTTCACAATCCAAAAAGTCACACATTTATCTGAAGCCAGTCCTAAATTTTCTCCTAATTACATCACCCTGCTACAACATCTCTTTCGGCACACATCTTCCATCCTCACTCGACACTGTACTGTAATATACCCAACCCCCGATATCCAACTCTCGGATGAATTTGTCATGGTTGACCGCCGTTGTATACATGCTACTATAATAGGCCCAAGCCTACACACTATTTGTCACTTTGTAGCTATATATATGGCCTAGCTACCCGGAATGAGAGCACTTGGTTTTACTCCTGCGTCAAGACTTTGTTCCACGATATGATACATACTTGCAGCTGGATTATGTTAGGGAACCTTACTCTTAACCTTCATAAGAGACAGCCCCGCACGCTGCAACCTTTAGTTCTCTGACTCGGAGCCCATTTTGCTAACTATTTGCATGATACATGGTATGAAGATACTGTGAGGGAACAGGCTATTCCTACTTTCCATCGGAGCGACACTCGTTACACAATAGACTATAGTTTTGGGCATGTTTCTTTTCGACCTCGCTTGGCTAACACCGGAATAATGCATTTATCTCCATGTTGTACTTGCCGCTCATTCTTAACCGTCGACCTAGCAATCCAAGACCATGCCCCTAGTTATGGCACATGGCGCTTTAATTATTTTCTCTCTCTAAAATTCCGGATTTCGACGTCTTCTACGTACTACATTTGACAAGTTATTTTACTTCCAGTGTAGTGGTTTGACTCCACAGGTTCAGTGGAATTTTTTCTTTAAAAAAAGAGTCATTAAACTTACTGCTCAAGAATATGATAAACAAGCATCCCGTACACATCAGAAAACCACTAATAGTCACCAAACACAACGTGTGACAGTCCCACGTCTATCACACAGTGAGCATCGACGGATCGAATCAGAAAATATTGATTATGAAACTGTACCTGCCATTGAAGAAAGACATAGATACCTTTTCCTCTGGTCCAACACCCCTCGATTGGAAAATGATGAGCAGAGGAAGAAGTATTTCTTCAAAGTATTCTGTCAAAGACTGATTTCTGATAATGGATGGACTATCCGAATACTGATGACGTACCTCAAGGCTTTGGCCTTCTCATCATCGACACTAGGTGCTCAATTTGAACAAGAAAGGGCTTACAATAGAATGCATCCGACTTAGATCAAACAAGTACTGCAAGCATTTGGATTTCCGGACCAGTTAGTATCTTCTATCTACTCTCTTTTATTTTAAACCCAGATTCATGTATAAATCAATGGGTGGTCAGTCACCGCGCTTCCCCAACAACAAGAATTGAGGCAAGGTGATCCGTTTTTGTCAATGCTTTTCAACCTGGCAATTAAATCCTTGCTCCGCCGTATAATCATTGGCCCTAATTTATTGGGCTGCTCGATCCTACACCAAACTGGTAGATATCATGTCGCTCATTGCCCATCGATACGTAATGTCCCACAGTAAGAAAGTCCTTCCCTCAAACATCTAGCTTATGCAGATGATCTTTTGATTTTTTCCAGGGGTCTAGAAGAGTAGCCTACTTTGATTGAACAAGAAGAATCTATGGTCTGGCCTCTAACGCCCATATTAACCCGCAAAAAAGCTCAGGCCTTATCTCTGATAAGTATTAACCACCTTAGTTGATAACCACTTTGAGACGAGGAAAGCATCCCATGGCATGACGAAGATACACCAACGGCACTGATGTACTTGGGCTACCCTTTGTACAGTCACCCGCGATAACATGACAGTTTTCTAAAGGGGATCTTTTGCAAAACGGAAAAGTTTGTCAACATACTTTGGCTAAGACGAATATCTATTAGAGGAAAATCTATTATATCAAATTTATAGCTGCTTGCAAGACTCTGATATTTCCTGTGCGTGACTATTGTGCCTAATTATTGTCTGCGGAAGTTTCAGATGGTCATCCGATCGTATGTTCTATACTTCTTTCTGCGATCTGCTGGATGGGCACTTAATTGACACAGTAACCAGGGCAGTTTCCGAGGGATATATGCTTTTCATCAATCCTCAGCTTTACACTTTGTGTACATACAACGACTAATTTGGTACAGAACGTTTTGGCGTGGGACAATCGTTTGTCTTGTCTTTGCTAGAAAATCCTATCATAATATACACGTTAACTCACAGTTACATCCATCCTTTTGTCCCCTGACCGATATCATTATTGTTTATTCTACAACTTTCTATACACCCAATTGTAAAGTCAGATGATTCTTCTTGGTTTTTGAGGGCAGAGGCAAGATATATTGTATCTGATATAATGATGGGACACAGAGGCATGTCAACTGCTCCTGGAGACACCCACAGCAAGTACTCGATTATATACAATAGCGTGCCGAGCCGGATTGACTAATGGTTTGCTGGTTATGAGCTCGAATATGCGAGCCCATTTTAAGTGCCAACAGAGAGAATACCCAGGGGGATATCGATTTATCTTCTTTGGTTTTATTGTGGGCGATCCATGGTCAACCTGTGGTAGACGCAAAAAAAAACAATATGATTTGGTGCTACTGAAACGCTGAGATCACAAAGACTTACGGATCCCCCATACACAGCTTGGCGGTGTTTATTAATTGATTCAATCTCGGCTTGGTTTCGACTTGATCACATGTGAAAAGTTCCCTTCTCCCAATTGAACTGTATGCGATTTGGATATGAAAGATGGCCGGAATTTCTGGATTTCATGTCATATGAAGTAGGTCTTCTGGTGATAAGCGCTGGAAAAATACAAGATCCCGCAACTAGCCTAGAGTCAGAAACGTTTTGTGGTTATATATCACACTGACACATCCCCG